CCAACAAGTTACTTATAGCAGTTTAAATACGAGCAATCAGTTTTTGGCAAATACCGGAAATCAGTTTTTGGCACAACACCGGCAGCTACTTTTTGGATGGGTTTCTGTTTTATTTATTTTTTATATACATGCTGTTATATCTATTTTCCCCTATTCAGTGCTAATGTTGTTGTTGTAACTTTAATTAAATTTGAATTTTATCTATAACATTTAGCTGTTACTGTTAATCCCCTGAAATCTGACACCAAGCTGCCGCTAATCCACTGAATCAGGCTAATAGTGACTTTTATTGATTATTAATTTGATTTCTCTTCTGTTTCTTGATAGAACTGAGGGTGGACCAGTAGCAGTGTGATCTATAATACGGCACCTTGAATGTGAGACTGTCTGGTATCCCTTTTATTGGCCCTGCATTACTGGTAAGTCATATCCTAGCCCACTCTTTCTCTTTTCTTTCTTTTGTTTTGTTGTTTTAAGCATATGTAATGCTGTTTTTAGGCCAGCATTTAGGCCAATAGTGGGTGTGCTGCAGTCATTCATTCTGTTCAAACCTGTGTGTCCTTCTTTTAATAATAGTAAACCCTTAGATATCCTGGTGGTAAAATTTCCACAGGCAGCATCACTATAAAATCATGAAGTTTCCTTAACTGTACTGCCACACGTGCATGGACTGTATGTGACCAGCATTAGCATTGCATCCAGTAGTGGTGTGGCGCTATCCACTGTTGTGAATCCTTGTGACAAGCGAGCAGCCAAAAGTGGCTTGTACAAATCTGTGTGTGTACAAATCTTGCCATGTGCTGCTGCTGCTTCTCTTAGGACTCTGGTTCCTGCAAAGGTTGCTCTGCTTCACGAACAATCATCACATACTCCACTACTTTTCAGTTTAACAAACACCAATATGAGTCATTACATCTGTTCCAAAATAAAATGAATAATATAATAACTAATAACCTAAACCCGATGCCAACGCAGTGCTAGGAGTTGAATACAATTTGTATCTGTTATGATTTTGTCCTGCAATGGTCATGAAAGCAATATAGTCATAAAAATCATTACTCGTTTTAATTTTCAAATTTCATATTTGAGCTACCTTATGTTTGTTATCAGCAGCTGCCTTCATGTTTGGATTGTTCAGGGTATCTCTTGGTATGTTTTGTCAGTGAGCAACAGTCCACTGCTGCTTGGTTCTCTCTTTGGAATGCAGAATTTAAAGGTGTATGATAAATGTTTTTTTTCATCAGGTCGGAGACATGGCTTCAGATACGATGACAGTGGCTGGTCTGGGTCGACCTTTTGATCTCGGAATGCTCTACAATGCTTTAACGGATAAGCAGGCATGTGGTAAGTTTTGTCTTTATTATAAACATAAATGGTTTGCTTTTAAAAAAAGATTGTTTAAATATACTCATCAGTAATATAAATGCTTGGACATGTTCAAGGTGTCTTAAAGATCAAAATTAATGGTATTTGCTGATGAAACTAATATTTTTTTCTGATAATAATTATGAGTAGTAATAATAATAATAATAATAATAATAATAATAATAATCATGAATGAAGAGTTTAAAAACTGGATGGAAAGTAATACCTTATCACTAAATCCTAGCAAAACAAAATCAGTGATATTTGGTAACTATAAATTGAATCATCAACATCAGGTGTTACTGATGTTTATTTATATAGTGCCAAATTACAATATATGTCTTAAGGCACTTCTATATTATAAGTTAAAGATGCTATAATCAATGAAAGACTAGAGGCATCTTACCTGCCTCCCTAACACACAGGAGAAAAGCATTATAAGCAGATGTCTTCCCCAAAGATCAAATAGGTTGCAAAACATGAAGCTGACTTGAACTCAATAAAATAGCTTTTATTTGATCACAGTAAAAACAGTAGTTTTATCTCAGTATGTTACACTATTTGCTTTAACACACCGTACAGGGATTTCTCCAAAGCGTTGATCCTAATTATTGTCAGCCAGTCTGGTTAGGTTCCAGTTTCAAGGAGACACCCTCAGTTTTTATCCAATGGCCAGCGGCCTTGTATAATTTGTGAAGTGGGAAAATACAAATTAGAATAAGCAATACTGCTCTTAAGCAGGGAGGAAATAAAACAATAGTTACACATAAAATACAGTTATGATCTTGTAACATAATGATGATAATAATGGCTCATAAAATCACGAGCTGCACATTATTTCCTGACTTTACCAAAAGCTTCATAAGATAACTAACATTTTGCCATTTTTTTAGGTTTCACCTTGTGGGATGATC